GAGGGCGGCGGTGCAGCGGGAGAGGAAAGAGGGAGGGAAGGGAAGTTAGGTTGCACGGCGCTGCGTGTTCAGCAAGGGTGGGGGTGGGGGAGCCGGGCCTAGGGGCCATGTGGAAGCTCCGGGCCCGCCTGCTTGCCGGGTGCTGGCCGAGGCCGGCTTCTCCTTCCTGTCCCTTGGCCCCTGTGGCTCTCTCCACCTACTTCCCAGAGTTCTACCCTTTCCTATCTCTCTTGGTCTGTGCTTATGGCCAGGCCTGGCACCCGACTGCCTCTCAACCAATTCTCAGTAAAATTTTCCCCTTTGCTGCCTGGTTATTACTCTTCTGAGATATACATACACATACATAGATAAATATATATTTGAAGTTAGGTGGGTAGAGGTTTGATCACTAGGGATCTGCATCCAGACAACGGACAGGCTCATCCTTGAGATCAGGCCTATTTCCTGATGAAATCCCAGAGGAAAGTTCCTGCCTCTCATGTTTTCAAATTTAAGGGGCACCAAGAAAAAAGGAAATAATTTCGCTAAGTCCTGGACCTTTGTTTAAAAAAGTAGGGTGGATTGGTTAAAATAGCCTGCTGCCAGAAATGTTTCTCTTTGGTGTCCCTCCCTTGTTGGGGGGGATGGGGAGCACAGGGAAGGGTGGATGATACTTCAAGTCTTTTTAATAGGTAATAAGTCTGAAGAACACTGTAACCAAATGTGTTCTTTTGCAATATCCTGGTACAATAATGTCAACGACAACAAGGTGACAGGCAGAGCTTATTTCATACAAACTGCCTTTGAATGATTATTTTCCATACTTAATGTGTGCTAGCTTTTACTAACCTTTTTATCCTTTGTCTAGAATAAATTTTCCTGCTCCTATAGGCTGATAAACTCCATTAAGAGTATATTCCTGTTTCTGCTTTTACTAATTTGCAAAAAGCCTTTTATTCTTTAAATTCTTTAATGGTACATAGTTAATAAACTTGGGAGGAATTGCTTTCTCTCCTGTGCTTTTAGAATTTGTTAGCAGTAGGAAATTGTATCTGCTTTTGGCTTCTATTGACTTTCCTCTTTGGATAGGGCTTTTTTGGTGTGAAAATTTTTAAACAAGGGATGGCTTTGGGGACCTGTGTGTTACAAAAGATTGAGTATGCTTTTCAGGGATCTATTATATTTAGTAGACAAGTCTAAAGTGTGTAGGAGCCTTAGTACATTAACTGTTGCCTATCTCATATATAAGATCATCTTTGTTGCAACAACTTGCCTTGCCATTTCTATCTTTTCAGTTATTCCCTAATTATAAATATTCATTAGCATTTTGCCTTATAACTCGGCTTTTTTCATTGTTCCTCAGAGCTAGGCTCCTAAGTCTTGTGTTGGAGACTAGAAATTCTTATCTACAAGAATTTCCCTCTTATCAAAGATTACTTGCTCCCATGAGATCAAAAGCTGCCCTCAGTATCATTTTTGGGGGGCTAAGGTCTTTTAAATTTAGAAAAAGAATTTTACTTTTGTAACCTGTCATAGTCCTTCAACAAATATTTATTGAGTATTGAGTACTAATGTGAAAATTTGGAAAGATGATCTTAATGGGGAATCTTAATAAGTGTGAGGCTGCAGAAGATGGGAACTTCATCACATACTCAGTGACATTTATAGTTAGTTTTTGATACGTGGTCTTGCAGTGTTACCCATGTTGGTTTTAAAATTCTGGACTCAAAGGGGAGCCTGCCTCTGAGTGCTAGAACTATAGGAATATGCTACCATGCCCAGCTTTGGATTACAAATTTGGCATTTTCTAAGATAATTGAACATGATGTCCTGGAAAATTGACTGGTCTTATCCCCATTCCTGGTCCCCCATGGTTTGGTGCTCTATAAACTATCCAGAGTTGTTTGAAATTTCTAAGAAATTTTCATTTACAAATACGTTTTTTCTTAACAGCCCACTTTTCTTGTGGAACTGTCCAGAGTGCTGGCAAATCCAGGAAACAGTCAGGTTGCCAGAGTTGCAGCTGGTCTACAAATCAAGAACTCTTTGACATCAAAAGATCCAGATATCAAGGCACAGTATCAGCAGAGGTGGCTTGCTATTGATGCTAATGCACGACGGGAAGTCAAGAACTATGTAAGTAAATTGCACCTCATTTTGGTCATACTGTCTAGGGAATAAGAAACATCTTTGTTCTTTTGTCATTTGCTTGGGACGGAGCTTGACAGTGTGACATTTGTGGGTTCTAAACTCTACCTGAAGGTGAAAGTTGTATTTGGTTTTAATGTCTTTCAATTCAGTTTGTCTGATGGATTGGGATTCAGTATCAAATGATTGAGGTAGCCTGCAATAGTTTGGAGAGTTTTAATTGGATCTCTTTGAATTGGAGTAGTATATGAATAGATGCTGTATCAGAATCACTTACATAATTTGCATGTATATCTCCATCTCTGGGGATGTAGCTCAATGGTAGAGCACAGACCACATGGCTATCGTGGCATTGGGTTTGATCCTCAACAGCACACCCCAAAAAGGGGTGTGGGTGTGTGAATTTCTAAGCTCTTCAGATATTTTGGTTTGTAGGGCCTAGAATAAAAATTTATTTATTTTTTTAACTGTCATCCTATGTGATTCTTTCATAGTCAACCAGCATCTAGCTCTTGTTGAACTTCTGCTGTAGATAGTTCTCATTATTTGCTGGTTTAAGCTTGGCATTGTGTGGAATCAGAAGAATTAAATGATTTCTTGGGCCTTTCAAGCCCAAAGAGTTTGCAGAATGAGTATGACATTAACGATGGATGCTTTTATCTACTTAGCAAATTGTGAAAAACTTAAATACTTGACTTTTTTCAAGAGTGAGATGAAGAATTTTGAGGAAAATGGAGTATCCTTTGTTGCTTTGCATCATAACGTTCTTTTGACTTTCTTGTTGAATTAGAAATTCATAATTCTATCTAAAGTATGGGATGTAGAATATAAAGATAGGTTTGGGGTAGGTTGGTTGGTTTGTCTTAATGAAGTTCTTTAGTGGCCTGTGTTATGTGGATAAGGCCCAAAGGAGATTAAGTTAAACATTTGAGGAGAAACCAGTGGGCAGGTCATGGTTATACACCATATTACTATATCTTAGTTCTACATGATAAGTAGCTTTAGGCAAATTAGTGTCCCTTAAGGCAACTACTTCTCTTTGTAATATGCTTCTTTTTGCAGTCTTGCAGTTAGGAAAGCTGTCTTTTAATCTTTTTTTGGAATATGTAAAGCTGTTTCAATTCACACTGGGTCTGCTTGTGTAACAACACTCCCTTCAGCCAATTGACATAAGGGAAGCATACTCCATCAAAAAAAATTTTTTTCCTCTTTGTGATGGTGTTTCCCTATATTGCCCAGGCTGCCCTGAAACTCCTACCTCAGCCTCCTGAGTAGCTGGGACTACAGGCTTGTGCCATCACGCATGGCTCGTCACTGAAAACTTTGATGCTCATTGTGCCCATTGGATTTCTCATTTCTTCAAAGTGTGTGTGTACACACACAAACATATTGGAACTGAAATTGAATTTATTGGCACATTGCTCGTGACACTTCTTTTTTGGTACTAGGGATTGAACCTAGGGGCTCAACCATTGAGCAACATTTCTGGTTCTTTATTTTCTTTACTTTTTTATTGAATAATAATTGTTGTTGTTGTTGTTGTTGAATTTATTGCTCAGTAAATTGCAGAGGTTGTCCTTGAGCTTGGGATCCTCCTGCTTCAGCCTCCTGAGTCATTGGAATTGTAGCCACTGGATCCAGCAATGCTAAAATTTTTTTAAAAATTGGGTAATAATCAATATTGGCATGGTTGAACTCTGATGCCTGAGAAGAAATTAGCATGAGCTGGGTGTGGTGGTGTACACCTATAATTCCAGCTACTTGAAAGACTGAGACCCAGCTGGATTGCTTGAGTTCACAAGTTCAAGGCCAACCTGGGCAACATAGTGAGATTCTATGTGTCTGTGCCCCCCCCCCACCACCAAAAAAAAAAAGTAGCCATTAACTTGGCCTTTTTCATAGTATATCTAATGATTACTCCTAGTGTTGGTGGACTTTTTAAAGTGGGGAGAGATGGGGTTTCTGTGCTGGTCTCATTTGCTATAGCATCACTCCTAGTTTAAAGGGGAAAAAAAGGTTTTTGTACTCAGAAATTGGACATCTCTAGCCTCTAAGTTACTTCAAGTAGTATTAACTAAGGGTCTTCTAAAAGCAATTTTAAAGAAGAGATAAAAGGGTCTGGGATTATGGCTTAGTGGTAGAATGCTTGCCTTGCACACGTGAGGCACTGGGTTCAATCTTTAGCACCACATAAAAATAAAGATATCATGTTCATCTACAACTAAAAAATATTTTTAAAAAAAGAAGAGATAAGGTGAATGGGATTCAGTGTGCTCCATATATGTACAGAGGTGTGAATGGGATTCAGCATAGTATAAAGATACCCTGGCATGGGGAGGCAAGGAGAGAGAAAGATTGCTTAAGTGAGTACGAAATTATTGCTAGATCAGAGAAATAGTTCTGGGGTGCTATTACACAGTAAATTTTCTATAGATAATGATATATTTTTAAAAAGTTACAAGAAAGGATTTTGAATGTTTTTTTACCACAAATGATGAAGGTTTAAGGAATGTTATGTTTACCCTGATTGGAACTTTCTATAGTATATCTGTACATTGAAGCTTCAGGTGGTATTGCATTAATATATACAATTTTTGTCAGTCAATCTACTCCAGCAAAAATAAATAAATAAATAAATTGCTATGGACTTTAGTCCTTTAAAAATACCCATTTAGCAATTCAGTTCATTTTTTTTCCCCTCACTACATTGTGTTTTTAACATAGTTTTTGTCCATTCTGCTGTGCCTAGAGAACAAAATTTTGTTAAAATTAGTTATTACTGGGTAAAACTATTGGGGGTGAGGGCAGTCAGGGATGGTGATATACTGTGTAAAAGTGAAAGGTGGGGAGTTCATTATTAGCTGATAATTACAAAGCAGGGTACTAAGTGACCTGACCCAGTCAGCAGAGCTGGCCTGAATATCTGGTAGCTATTCTTTGTCCTGTGTTCATGCCAGGAACAGTTAACTGTTTGACTTTGAGTGGACTGGGGATTCTTAGTGCCTTCATTGACTGAATTTAGCTGATCATGGTAATGATTAACACTGGGTCAATTGTGGCTTCATCCTTTAGCCTAACCTGTGACTTCACCCATTACATAAATGCTTGAGTGATTAACACTTCCAATGAGAAATATTTAATGACAAGTGAATCTTGTTTTAATTGGCATATCTGGCTAGTTCTTGGTATCTGTTGGTAGTAGAGAGAACCATTCTTGGGCAAACAGAATGAATCCTTTTAAAAATAAGAATTCATTTTTAGGTTTTGTAGCATCAGGAACTTTTGTTTCCATATTCAATGATATTGCTTAACCAAGGCCTTTCTCTTTAAATCACTCAGTGCTGGGCTGTTAGAAGGAAGGAGGTCTATTTCACATGTCACCTATAAGTAGGATCTTTTTCTTGAGGCAGGTTTTAGACAGTGTCCTACTGTGAATCAGACCCACCTGGATGCCCCATAGGTAGTCATTCTAAAGCCTCACATTTCTTTCCACAACAAGGCTGTGAGCATTCTTCCCTTATATCACCATCAAGGAGCATGGAAGATTTGTGTCATTTCTGTCTTGAGGATCAAACCCAGGGCCTTGCATGTGTTAGGTAATCATTCTGCTACCAAGATATATCCTCATCCCCAGGAAAATGAATTTTATCCCTTGCTCTTCCCCCCCTCCCTTTCATTTCCTTGACAAGGTTTCATTAAGTTGCCCAGGCTGCTCTCAAACTTGCCATCCTCCTGCCTCAGCCTCCATGTACTAGCTGAAGTTACAGGCATAGGTCACCATACCTGGTTCCCACTTAACTAGTGGTTAGGAGAGATAGTGTTAAAAGTTTTCTGCTGTGTTGATTGTTTTCTGCTGTGTTGATTGAGGTGTGTGGTTTTGGAGAAGTCTAATTCACAGCAGGGGATGGTTGGTTTTTGCTTTTAGGCTCTGGGGAATGTTGATTTTTAAAGGTGTTGGTATTGAGGCTTGCATGGTTTGGGCTTTGTTTTGTTGGCAGAACTTAAAGAGACAATGATATAAGGGGTGTGGTGGTAGGCAAATATGCTGAAGTTATTACAAATTGACAAATTTTGTCCCCTGTTTTCCAGGTTTTGCAGACTTTGGGCACGGAAACATACCGGCCTAGCTCTGCCTCACAGTGTGTAGCTGGTATTGCTTGTGCAGAGATCCCAGTAAACCAATGGCCAGAACTCATTCCTCAGCTGGTGGCCAATGTCACAAACCCCAACAGCACAGAGCACATGAAAGAGTCAACATTGGAAGCTATTGGGTACATTTGCCAAGATATAGTAAGTGCTTGCCTGGTGTATTTAATATTTGTATCTTTGATTCTCTCTTGCTATGACTTGCATGATGTTAGGATTAGCTTATTAAATCATAAAGAAAACCATGCTGCTGCAATGTTTTGAAGTAGAACTGTTTGCTAATTTAGATCTATCCTCATAGTTCTAATCATGCACTGAGTAAAGAAACTTGAGATTCACAAATTCAAAACATGACCAGGGATGTAACTCCATGGTGGCACATTTGCCTAGCATGAGCAATGCTCTGGATTCTATTTCTAGCATTGTGAAACAGTAATAATAAAATAATAATAAACTTAAAATTGAAATCCATATGTTTGGAGAAACTGGGTTTTTTTCCTTTTTTTTTTCTTTTTGCAGAGCTGGGGATTAAATCTAAACACTTGAGCATGCTGGGCAAGTACTGTACCACTGACCTACACCCTGAGGTTATTCTTATCTGGAGCATCCCTGAATTGAGATCCTCAGTGTCCCATGAATTCCTGAGTGCTTTTCCATTTACTAAATTGCAGAAAGATTTGTCAGTTCTTCATACAGTTGGGGTCGCAGCACAGTACTTCAGTTGCAGCCGCAGCCCTCCTACGATTATTATTGCCCCTGGAGGTTACCACTCTTTTTTATTTTGTACCAGGGATTGAGTCCAAGGGTCCTTAACTACTGAATCACATCCCTAGCCCTTTAAATTGGTACCAGGGATTGAACTCAGGGGCAGTCAGCCACTGAGCCACATCCCCAGTCCTGTTTTGTATTTTATTTAGAGACAGAGTCTCACTGAATTGCTTGGTGCCTGGATGATGCTGAGGCTGGCTTTGAATTCACAGTTCTCCTGCCTCAGCCTCCTGAGCTGCTGGGGTCACAGGCATGTGCCATCACCCCCAGCCAGGTTTTTTTTTATTTTTGAGACAGGGTCTTACTAAGTTGCTCAGGGCCTAGCCAAGTTGCTGAGGCTGGTTTTGAGCTTTTTATTTTCTTGCCTCAGCTTCCCAAGCTATTGGGATTACAGCATGTGCTAATGTGCTTAACATGAGGTTACAACTCTTGGTAACTGTTTTATGTAGGCTTCATGTAGCAAACTCACAGCACTTGACTTGGAGTTAGATATACCTAGTTGTATTACACTAAGGTATGATCTTTGGTCCTCAGCTATTCTGAAACTATTTGGAACAGGTGAAATACATTATACAAAAGGAGAAAAAGCTAATGTTAACTTATGCCCATAGGCATTATGCTAAGAAATCAGAGACAAAATTGATGAGATTAATTTGTTTCTGTTCAAATTTTGGACTACTAGTTCTCTTGGATGTTTTATGGTTACTTTGCAATAGTATGCTTGGAAAATATCACAAAGTAATGATAATTAACTCTGAATTTTACAGTTAAAAGGACTGCTGATTAGTCATGAGTTTATTATTATGTTCATTGCATTTCTTTGCTTTTTTTCAGGACCCAGAGCAGCTACAGGATAAATCCAATGAGATTCTGACTGCCATAATCCAGGGGATGAGGAAAGAAGAGCCTAGTAATAATGTGAAGCTAGCTGCTACTAATGCACTCCTGAACTCATTGGAGTTCACCAAAGCAAACTTTGACAAAGAGGTAAGTTTTCTTTTTCTTTCCCTGGGGTGGAACCCAGGATCTTAAGCAGCTGGGCAAGTGCTCTACTTGTGAACTACACACCTAGCTGAAGTAGGTTTTCTTTTTAAAACTTTGGTATAGGTTCAGAGGTTACTTGTAAAAGAAAACAGCATTACTTAGTGGGAACATTTTGGAATTTTAAAAAATTATAGCAATGGGGCTCTTCACTTTAGGAAGGTGCTCTTGAAGAACGATATAAATGTTTTGCCTGAAAATCTTCCTGTCATTTACTTGTTTATATATAATGTAAAATATGCATACAACAAAATTTGCCATGTTTTATTGGTGCATTATAATTACACATAGTAGTGAGATTCATTATGTTGTATTTATACATACACATAATTTGATCAATCTCTTTCCCTAGTACTTTCCTTTTCCCATAAAATTTACCGTTTTAATAGTATATTCATGTGGAAATGGAACCAATCTTCAGAGCTTTTGCATCTTGAAAAAATGTCAGACTGAATATTGGGCTGGGGTTGTAGCTCAGTGGTAGAACACTTGTCTCACGTGTGAGACACTGGGTTTGAGCCTCAACACCACTTAAAACACAAAAATAAAAGATATTGTGTCCATCTACAACTAAATGTGTGAGTGTGTGTACATTGAAAAAAGATTCAATGTTATTTATTTATGTACATATACTATGTTTATTGAATTATCCATTTGGATTGCTTCCATCTTTTTGTCTGTTGTGAATGATGCAGTTGTAAATATGGGTGTATACTTTTCTCTTTGAGATCTGATTCTAATTCTTTTGAACGTATATCCAAAAGTGCAATTACTGGGTAATCTAGTCTGAAGACTTTTGTATTTGTTGACAATTTAGCTGGGCGTTTGCCTTTATTGGAGAGGTCTGAGAAGCCAGGGCAAACTGCAGTTCTAATTGATTAGAAAGCATGTTTTTTTCCTTATAGACTTCAGAAGAGTTGGGAGAGTAGCAAATGAAGTTCATATTTTGTTCTCCCTTTACTCCTCAAATTTGATGAGGATTTGCTACCCTCCAGAAAACAAATTTGGCTCCTGAAATAGTACAGATGTTTTGAATTCTCTTAAATTTTAAATAAAAGGACATTAATTTTTCTACATGTAGATTTTTGTTTTTTCTTGAAATGATCAACTTTATTTAAACCACGTGACTTTATTTGCTGCCTAAATTCTTAATAGTGAAGGTCATCTTGGAGATTAAAAAGGATTAAAACCTTCTTATAAGGTAGGTCGTATACCAGACACTGGAGGCAAACTGTGTAGCCTCCATAGTGCCATTGTTGCCTCAAAGAATAGTTGCTGGATTATACCAGGGTTGTATGGGGCCCTCAAAGAGCAGCAGGTTTTTCCTTATATTGAGAATTCAAGAATCAATAAGTATGGTTCATATTTTCGTAATTTTCTTTTTCTTTGTTCTTTCTGCAGTCCGAAAGGCACTTTATTATGCAGGTGGTCTGTGAAGCCACACAGTGTCCAGATACAAGGGTAAGTGTATGGTCATACGAAAAAATAGGGCTTTCTTATGTACTTCCTTGGAAATGTCAACTCTAACTTAGTTTGAAATGCAGGGAGTCAATGGACTAAAACAAGGTTTGAGTAATATTATAAAGAATTTTTTCCAACGTATTGGAGAAGAGGAGAGAATAATACTACTTGGAAAGTGCATAATGGAAGTTGTAAGGGAGAGAGAAATGGTGGGTCCTTTTTTCCCCCCCCCTCCTCTCTGTACTAGGATTGAACCCAGGGACACTACCATTGAGTTATAGCTCCACCTCTTTTTATTTTTTCCATTTTAAACAGGCTCTCAACAAGTATCTGAGGCTAGCCTCAAACTTATGATCTTCTGCCTCAGTCTCCCAGGTTGTTGGGATTATAGGCATTTGCCCAGCTTTAAGAGAAGAATGGGTTTTGATCAGCTTTGCTATTTTATTGCCATGTTATTCAAGTGATTGTTTCAACTGTAGCCATTGGAATAGTTTTGCTATTGGTGTAACCTAAACTTTCCCTATTTTTGAAAGTAGCATTTTCATTCTGAATAGAATTAGTGATTTTAGGGCTGTCATATGTCCCTTGGGCACCTTTGAAGAAAAAAAAAAAGGAAATGGGAAGGGATAATGAGAACTGAGGGTAGAGATTGATTTAGGGGGAGATTTTTGACATTATCCAAACACAACCTTGACCCATTAGAGTCTACCATTGCAGATTGTGTTATTTTTAGTAAATTATTTAATTTACTCTTCTTAAAAGGTACGAGTGGCTGCTTTGCAGAATCTGGTGAAGATAATGTCCTTGTATTATCAGTACATGGAGACATATATGGGCCCTGCTCTTTTTGCAGTAAGTATTTCATTTTTCTTTGTGTGTATGTGTATGTATATGTACTGGAAATTGAACACAAGGATGCTTAACCACTGAGTCACATCCATCCCCAGCCCTTTTTAATTTTGAGACAGGGTGTCACTAAGTTGCTGAGGCTGCCCTTGAACTTGTGATCCTTCTTCCTCAGATCCCAAGTTGCTGGGATTGCAGGGGTGTACCACCATGCCCAGTCTCAAGTATTTCAATTTTTAGGTGATATGAGCTTCTAGCTGATTGCAAGGAGTCATTATTCTTAGTTGCTGTTTTGTAATTTTGTAGTTTTTTTACTTAATATTGTGAAATCAAGAAAATTCCTTGAATGTGTGAGTAAATATAAGCAGCTCAGTGGTGTGCCAAAAAAACTTTACTATTATTGTGTTGGTAAAAGGAGTATATTTTGATAATCTATTTCTTGTTTCTTTATTTCAGACCTAGCTTTCATAAATTATGTTTTTGAAACTTGAATGGAATATCTGGTTAAAGAGAAGGGTCTAACTTTAGTCAATACTTACTTGAGGTCTGCGGTGTCATGTTTTTTTCTCTTAAGATCACAATTGAAGCAATGAAAAGTGACATTGATGAGGTGGCCCTACAAGGAATAGAATTCTGGTCCAATGTCTGTGATGAGGAAATGGATTTGGCCATTGAAGCTTCAGAGGTGAGCCTGGGAGAACATCACCATAGGGGAAGTGCTATTCTGACTGGGCTTGAAAGGTATTTCCATTTGTAGATGTTCTGGATGTCCTCCCGCCCCCCCCCAGCCAAACCTCCTCACAAAGGAAACAGATCTATAATGAGGCAGCTTATGTTTTTGTAGATATCTGACATGATTTGTTGTACATAATGGTATTAGTACTATGAACACAAGGGGGCAGTAGTAAGTCAGTTTTACCCATGCACAACCTTGACCTTTTAGAGTCTACCTTTAGTGACACCTGATGCTAAATTATTTCCTTTTTGGAAGTCCTAATGCATGCACAGGATGTGTATTTGATAGTTTAGTAACTGGTTAAGGAATCAGATAGAGGTACAAGGAAAAGAGTAGTTGTGCCCTTAGAATCTTCAAATTTAAGCTTTATTTCCAACCTTGTTTGTCATCTTGTTCTTCTAAAACAACAGCCTTATTTTTGTCATCCTATGTAAACTTCATGTATCTCTTAATCCAAAGAACACTAGATGTAAGGTTATTAATATGAGTTGAGTTTGTGAAAAAGAATGTAATTTTTAAAGTTGCCTTGGTCCTTTAAGATAGATTTTATGTTTAATCAAAAGAATATCATTACAAGTAGATGAAAAAATGAGCACTTCCAAAGATCACAGAAAATATTACTGTTGGCCCCATACATATATTTGTCACTGATCTTGGGACGGCTCTCATTGTATCCCTTTAGTATTGCGGTTTGTTCGCTTTTGTCTTAGAATCTGCTATGCATTTCTCCTCAGGCAGCAGAACAAGGACGGCCTCCTGAGCACACCAGCAAGTTTTATGCCAAGGGAGCACTACAATACCTGGTTCCCATCCTCACACAGACGCTAACTAAACAGGTGAGCCTCCTTCCAAATCTAACAAGGTAAATTGTGAAACCTTATTTAAGGTGGGTTGGTTTGCTGTGGAACAGTTTCCATGGAGCAGCTTGGCAGCCTATCAACTATTTGTTATTCTGTTATAGATGACTCAGGAATAACTGAGCTAGATCTGTAAGATCTCCTAGGCTTTGAGCTGTTTATAAAAAACCAGGTCTGAATATCTCAGGTGTCTTAATTGGGAAGAGAGCACACACTGTTTTGATATTACTGAGTACAGCATTATCCACAGTAATAGAAGAGGTGTGTTCTGTAAAATTTGCAGTAAAGGTTGGGGGCTGGGAGTGTTACTCTGGTAGAACACTTGCCTAGTGGGTGCATGGCACAGGCTCAATGGTTGGCATCAAAAACAAAAGTTGGGAGGAGAGATGAACTAGGTTTAAGCCATTCTAATACCTAGGGTATCTTCATAAATCCGTGCTATATATATTATTTTTTTTAAATGCTGATTAGGTTGTATTCTGACCCATAAAAAGAAACTAATACAAGTTTTTTGCAAAAAGTGTGTCTTCCTTGCCATTCTGCTTTTTGTTTTGGGTATCAGGGATTGAACTCAGGGGCACTCAGCCCTTGAGCCACATCCCTAGTCCTATTTTGTATTTTATTTAGAGACAGGGTCTCACTGAGTTGCTTAGCGCCTGGACGATGCTGAGGCTGGCTTTGAACTCGCCATCCTCCTATCTCAGCCTCCCGAGCTGCTGGGATTACATGCATGCGCCACTGCACCCAGCTGCCATTCTGTTTTGACTTTATGCATCAGTTTTTCTTGGTATGATGTTTGGGGCAGGTGCTTTTTTGTTTTTGTTTTTTTTTTTCCTGCCACTTTAGTTCTTACAGTGCATGTGAAATATTACCAAAGAATTGGCAGTGCTCTGAGGAAATAGTTAATTTGAAGCCTAGAAATCTCTTTGTACATGGTAATATAATTTGTTTTTAGGAATATACACATTTTAACTTTGTCTTCAAAGGATAAGTAGAGATAGTTTGGTTTGAAATGAACTGTTTCCTTTTCATCTCGTCTTTCAGTTTTACCTTGATTTTTTTGATCTTTTAGCATCTTTGCTTTTGTGTATTTTTGTTAGTTTTCTGGCTTGCATACAAATCTTTTTTTTTTTTTTTTTTAAGTTGTAGATGGGCACAATATATTTATTCAATTTTACATGGTGCTGAGGATTGGACCCAGTGCCTCACAGGTACGAGGCAAGTGCTCTACCACTAAGCTACAGCCCCAGCCCAACAAATCATTCTTTATGTGTATAATTTTCTGACACTCCATAGGCAACATGCGTTAAGTTACTGTGTGGTGATTTGCCATAATAGATATACCTAGTCTACTTTTTAAAAATTTTTATTCATTTATTTGTCCTAATTTGTTATACATGACAACACTTCAATTTCAATTCATAGTACAAAAATGGAGCACGATTTTTCATTTCTCTGGTTGTACACAAAGTAGAGTCACACCATTCGTGTCTTCATACATGTACCTAGGGTAATGATGTCTATTTCGTTCCACGATTTTTACTATCCCATGGTTCCTTCCTTCCCCTTCCTCCCCTTTGCCCTCCATTTTTCCCACATTCCCTCCCCACCCCCATTATGGATCAGCATTCACTTATCAGAGAAAACATTTGGCCTTTGGTTTTTGTATTGAAACAAACGATAACTAGTATTCTAGAATTCTGTCTTTTTTCTTAGTCATTAACTCTCTCTCTTTCCTGACCTTTAACCCCATAGGTAGGTTTTTGTTGCTTTTTAAATTTATATAACTAAAGTCATTCTATATATTCTCTACATGTTTGTGACTTAACCTGTTGTTAAAACTTGGTCATTCTCAATTGTTATAAAGGTTATGCTGTGGTGAGTATTTCTGGAAGAGACTTAAAAATCAGGGCTTAATATTTTATTTCAAGAAGCTTAAGTTCTAAAAGAAAGCAAAGAAAAAAAAAAGCTTAAGTTCTAAAGGTATTTGGGAGTCATCAGAAAACCTTTTGAATAAAAGTAATTCTTTGAACACAAACTCACCTAGTGCCACATCTTTCACCAGGATGAAAATGATGACGATGATGACTGGAACCCCTGCAAAGCAGCAGGGGTGTGTCTCATGCTTCTTTCCACCTGCTGTGAAGATGACATTGTGCCGCATGTCCTCCCCTTCATCAAAGAACACATTAAGAACCCAGATTGGCGATACCGGGATGCAGCAGTGATGGCTTTTGGGTGTATCTTGGAAGGACCAGAGCCCAATCAGCTCAAACCACTGGTTATACAGGTAAAGCTGAGGGAGTTTTGTAAATATTAGTGGAATATTTATTGTTTGTTTCACCTTTTTGTTTTGAGTGTGCTTTTGTTTTTAGTTATTTGCTGTCATTAAGAATATAAAGTATTGGGGGCTGGGGTTGTGTTTCAGCAGTAGATTGCTCACCCAGCACATGTGGGGCCCTGGATTCGACCCTCGGCACCACATAAGAAGTAAGTGAATAAAATAAAGGTATTGTGTCCAACTACAACTAAAAAATATTTTTAAAAAAGGTAAAGTATTGGGATGGGGCTGGGACTCAGTGGTAGCGCACTTGCCTGGGGTGTGTGAGGCACTGGGTTTGATTCTCAGCACCACATATAAATAAATAAAGGTCTACCAACAACTAAAGTAAAGTATTTGTTTTTAACTTTTCAGAATTATGTATATTGAGCTAGGAATGTGGCTCAGTGGTAGAATGCTTTGCCTGGCATATGTGATACCTTGGGTTTAGTCCCCAGCATTGCCAGAAAAAAATAAAAATTAAGTTAAATTAAATGTCATAAATCCAGAAACTTTTGAATGCAGAGAAAACCAAAAAGAAAGTCCCATTTTCTAGGGATTACTCTTAACTAAATATTGATCTGTGCAGCTTTTTTCATTGTACCTTGTGTATAATAAGAAAGGGCTCTTACAGTCTTATAACTATGTTTAGGGTATGATTTTTCAACATCATAGCATAAACATTTCCCATTTATTTACTTTTGGATCAGGTTGTCACTAAGTTGCTGAGGCTGGCTTTGAATTTGTGATCTTCCTATCTCAGCCTCCCAAGACACTGGCATTATAGGCATGTGCCACCACACCTGTTTTTGTTTGTTTGTTTGGTTGGTTGGTTGTTTTTTGGGTTTTTTTGTTTGTTTGTTTTTTGGGGGCTTTTTTGTTTTTGTTATTGTTTTTTTAAGGTAGTGACTGACTATGTTGCCCAAGCTATCCCCAAATTGCTGGACTAAAGCAATCTTTCTGCCACTGCTCCCAACTGCCATACATATATATGTGTATATAAAGATGTTTTTAGTTGTAGATGGACATGACTATTTATTTACTTATTTATTTACTTTATATTTATGTGGTGCTGATGATCAAGCCTAGTGCCTCACACATGCTAGGCAAGCACTCTACCACTGAGCCACAACACAACCCCAGCCTTGCCCTATAATTTTTAATGACTGATTATTCCCTCTTTTAGACAAAATTGACACTTTTGTAATAATAATCTATGGAAATGTGTTCGTTTTGCTAATATAAATCATCAGTTCATATAATTGACCTTAGAGCTTACAAAACTCAGAGTCTTTTGAGATATACTAGTTGCCATCATACCTGTATCCTAAATTAGTCAGCATAAAGTGCTTAGAAACATGCATACCAAACTCTTATTAGAACTCCACATTGGAATTTGGTAGAGAAAGAATTTTGTCACATTTCACTCTACTGTTTTTATTTGATAAATGTTTCAGGAGCACAAAAGCATCTTGATGATATTTTGAGTTTAAATCCACCCATCAGTATTTCTTTTTGAGTAGTTGTCCATGTGAATTTATTTTGTTTTACTGTATTTTCAGGCTATGCCCACCCTAATAGAATTAATGAAAGACCCCAGTGTAGTTGTTCGAGACACAACTGCATGGACTGTGGGCAGAATTTGTGAATTGCTTCCTGAAGCTGCCATCAATGATGTCTACTTGGCTCCCTTGCTGCAGTGTCTGATTGAGGGCCTCAGTGCTGAACCCAGAGTGGCTTCAAATGTATGCTGGGTAAGGGATTTTCTTCCTGGTGAGCTTGCCTGAGCCAGTGTCAAGAAAATAGGAGGTATGTAGGGATGGGGTTGTGGCTCAGCAGTAGAGCACTCACCTACCACATGCGAGGCCCTGGGTTTGATCCTCAGCACCACATAAAAATAAATAAAGATATTGTGTCCAACCAAAAAATAAATATTAAAAAAAAAGAAAATAGGAGATGTGAGAGAAAAGTGGATCTACCTCATTTGGAAGGCTTTCTCTGAATACCGTCTCCTTTCTAATTTCTTCAATTAAAACATGGGAGAATTGTCTATAGCAGGAGCCAGTGGGAACTGTTGAATCGTGGTGACTAGATCTCAAAGCACTTAGAGCAGTCATGGCAACCATGACTGGAGAGGCACTGGGGGCAGGTACTGGGAACTGAATTTAGGCAGTTAACCACTGAACCACATCCCTAGTCCTATTTTGTATTTTGTTTAGAGACAGGGTCTCACTAAGTTGCTTAATTTCCTCGCTCAATTACTGGGGCTGGCTTTGAACTCACTATCCTCCTGTCTCTGGACTTGCTTTTCTTCCTTGAGTTGCTCCCAGACAATAAATTTCAATTAAGGTAGATAGTTGTTGGCCACCATTGCCAAGAAAGGGACAAAAAGGACCGAAAGTGGGTGGTCTCAGTGCTGAGTCAGTATAGAGTACATGTCATTTATTGGGGGCTTTTGGGGTATAGAAGAGGGAGATGAAATAAGGAAGGAGTAGGGCTAAAAACCTTTCTGTGAATGGAAAAATAACAGTATTGGTAGGTGAAAATACTCTGCTGCTTAAACGAGTTGGATGTAGCCAGGTACAGCAGCTCATGCCTGTAATCTCAGTGGCGAGCAGGAGGATCGTGAGTTCAAAGCCAGCCTCAGCAATGGCAAGGTGCTAAGCAACTCATTGAGACCCTATCCCTAAATAAAAATCCACAATAGAGCTGGGGATGTGGCTCAGGGTCGAGGGCCCCTGAGTTCAGTCCCCAGTCCCCCCCCCCCAAAAAAAAAAAAATCTGGACATATTTATGAGACAGGACAAGTAGACAATATAAGTAAGTAAATGTTTTATTTTAAAGATACCTATAAAATGTAGAATGTATTGTGATGACCTTGACAGAAAAAGTCAGTTGGAGAACACTGCTCATGGTATCTTAAGGAAACATGGGGTAATCCTAGGAGACACTTCCCTCAGTACTAATATTTAACCTATCTGCTTTTTAGGCATTTTCCAGTCTGGCTGAAGCTGCTTATGAAGCTGCAGATGTAGCTGATGATCAAGAAGAACCAGCCACATATTGCCTGTCTTCTTCATTTGAGCTTATAGTTCAGAAACTCCTGGAAACCACAGACAGGTAACCAATGATCTATAGAAGTGGGTGATGTCACTGCACGTGGTGGCACCCTTCTGTAGCCCCAGGTACTTAGGAGGCTGAGACAGGAGGATAGCTTGAGCCCAGCAGTTGGGGAACAGCCTGGCAACATAGCATTACTGTGTCTTAAAAAAAAAAAAAAAAGAAGTGTTTTGTTGTTGTTTGTTTTATTCATGCAGCTCCTGTTGTCCTCTGGAGGATAGTAATGTGGAGGGATTGGACAGAATTTTACCTGCCCTAGGGGAGTTACAAGAATCCTATTGTAGATTTCATTATTTGTTTAAATAAAAGGGTATGACAAACATAAACTATGCTACTTAGGATTGTTAAGAAGCTCCATCATTTTTTTGCTTTTTGTTTTTAATATTTTTTAGTTGTTGAGGGACTTTTTTTATTTGTATGTGATACTGAGAATTGAACCCAGTGCCTCATGCATGCTAGGCAAGCATGCTACCACTAAGCCACAACCTCAGCCTGAAGCCTCATCGTTTTGTAGTATTGACAGTTGATGGTGGAGTATTTGGTAATGGTATAGGAGAAATTGTGACACTGTAAATCAGAAGATTTATACCAACTCAGTAACTGTCAATTTTATGATGTCGGATAAAATTTAGCATTAGTATTTATACAGTTGATATATAAATGAGCTTAAGTTTGGGGTTGGGTAATTGCAATGACTTGGGTGATCAGGGGATGAGAATCTCAGGTCCTAAACCAGCTTCAGCAACTTAGCAAGACCCTGTCTCAGAATAAAAATAAATTGAAAAGAGCTGGGGATGTGACTTAAGTGCCCCTGGGTTCAATCTCTGTTACCCTAATTAAAAAATTTGGGGACCCCAAACTTGTGTTTTGTGTGTTATACCTAAAGCCATGAGCAAAGTAAATGATTAGGTAGGGACTGGGCATAAATCTTCCATGTTTAATCCTGATTTCCCTGTTAAAATTGATGTATCTCCTCATCTATTCAGGCAGCCTCTTTAGTTATCCACATGGATTCTTTTTTCCCCCTATAATTGTAGCCCATTCTTAAGGGTTGTTCTATAGTTTACATTTTTGGAGACCGTCATAAATATGACTAGTGGCTCAAAGCTTTTCTTTTTTTTTTTTAAGTTCTGATTTCTAGATATTATATTGCCAAACTCAGATCAGGTCTACAGTTGTACCAGTTTCTGGTTTTCTATTTTTGGAGAGACATTCCAAAACTTCTCTGTCCTTTCTCCACATTTGAGGCTTTAAGATTTTTGCCATATGTTCCTTACAGACCTGATGGACACCAGAACAACCTGAGGAGTTCTGCATATGAATCTCTAATGGAAATTGTAAAAAACAGTGCCAAGGATTGTTACCCTGCTGTTCAAAAAACTACTTTGGTCATCATGGAACGACTACAGCAGGTGCTTCAGATGGAGGTAAGACTGGAGTACCCTCAGCTATGAGGTGAAGGGGATAGTACTTTTGACAAATAATAGCTGCTGTTATTTCTTTTTGTTGTTCAAGTCAAGTATATAAGGTTTAAGAAAGACATAAGGTTTAGATGACAACAACCAAAAAAACCAATATTGCAGTCTTGAGGAAGGCCTTTAGTTTAATCCCCAGCACCAGTGTCCCCATCCAAAATGGAACTTAACATTTTCATTGCTTGTCACAGTTTACTTGCATTTATATTATATTTCTTGTTTTTACTTACTTTTCTACAGTAAAATTGTTTTTTACTGTAAATAAAATATATTACAAAAGCAAATAAAGTAAGATGATTAAATAAAATATGTAAATTTATTTTATGTATTATTTAATGATGGAAAGTTTTCACTTAGAGCACGTTTTCTTCTTTTCCTTGTAGTCACATATCCAGAGCACATCTGATAGGATCCAGTTTAATGACCTTCAGTCTTTACTCTGTGCAACTCTTCAGGTATGATGGTGCTTTATCACCTTTTTTTTAAATTTTTTTTTTTTAATTCATACACTGTAGTTACAAATAATAGTGGAATTCATTATACCACATTTGTTTTGGGGGTTTTGGTTTTTTGTTTGGTTGGTTGATTTTTTTGGTATTGGGGATTGAAATGGGCGCGGGGGCGGGGGTGGCTTCACTCAACCACTGAGCCACATCCCCAGCCCTATTTTGTATTTTATTTAGAGACAGGGTCTCACTGAGTTGCTTAGCACCTTGCTTTTGCTGAGGCTGGCTTTGTCATGATCCTCCTGCCTCAGCTTCCCAAGCCTCTGGGATTATAGGTGTGTGCCACCACGCTGGCTAATGCCATATAACAGTTTGGTCACTCTCTTTCCTCCCTTCCCCTGATCTGCTTGAGAACTTTGCTAATTTTCCTTCTATTACTATTTTAATTAGTTCGTTATAATTATATAAAAAGTGTGTCCCCCCCCACCACCCTTTTCATTTTTGAGACAGGAACTTATGGTCTTGCTAAATTGCTTAGGCTGTCCTTTAGCTTGTGATCTTCCTGCTTTAACCTCCTCACCTTAATGAAACCCAGGCCTCACTCATGAGAGTCAAGCACTCTACCACTGAGCCACATTTCCATTTCCAACCCCTTACCACTTCTTAATAGCTTCAGGGAAGAAAGTCTGCCTCATGAGTTCTTATACTCTCACAGCTCTAAAATGGTGTAGACAGTGCTTTTCTCGGTTTGGTTTATGATTCTTTGGAAGAGTGATTTCCTACCTTCCTTTCCTTTCTGTCAAGAAAGATCCAGTTTGTCTTTTGAGAAGGAAACACCTCAGTATGTAATGGTCCCTTCCAGCTGAATAGCTAATTTGTGTTGGTAGCTTTTGATCTTGGTTTCCAACAAGACTAGCTCAGTCAGATTCAGTTCCCAGCTGTGGTTCTCTTTTTTTAGAAAAAGGGGTAGGATGAGGAGCTATAGCCCATACCTGTAATCCAGTGTTTCAGGACGCCTGTAGCAGGAGGATCACAAGTTTGAAGATAGCCTCAGCAACTTAGCAAGACCTTGTCTCAAAATTAAAAAGTAATTTTAAGGGGGCTAGAGATGTGATTCAGTGGTTAAGTGTCCCTGGATTGAATCCCTGGTACCAAAAAAAAAAAGTGGGTTGGGGTTTTAATTCAGTGGTTGAGTACTTGCTAAGTATGTGTGAAGCCCTGGGTTTGCTCCCTGGAACAACAACAAAAAAAAAGTATGGCGTTTCTACCATCATCTTTTGATACACTTGCTATTAAAAGTTTTATCATTGTTACACCATATATAGTGCCTTGTATTCACAGTAGAATCTTTTTTAAGGAGAGGCTGAAAGCTAAAATAAAATGTTGCTCTCATCTCAATGCAGTAGCTGGGAAGCTATTCCTTTCTTTAAAAAATGCCCTGGAATTTATTTGTAGTAATGAATTTTAGTATTAATTACATTAATTAGGTCATCTTACCTGTGAACTTCTTTTTTGTCCCAGACTTTAACTTTTTAATAGATGACTGTTGAGAGATTTTCATTTCTCATCAGACAAAATACAGGAAAGATTCAGTGACATGAGTTGAAGCAAACAAAAGAATAAGGAGACAGATTTGATGCCTGTGTAATGTATGAAATTGGAAAATGTTTATCAGGACTGTACTTTTGATCACTTAAAAGTATGTTGGAATATAGGAAGCATTGCTTTTTGTTTTGTAGATAGGAACTCCTAAAACAACATGATTTTTTAAATTAATTAATTGATTGATTATTGGTACTGGGGTTCAGCCCAGGGGTGATTAACCACTAACCATATCCCCACCGCTTTTTATTTTAACTGTTGTTCCAGTAAGACTAGAATAGGGAGACTACTGATAGGGGTTTGTCAGGCCAGCATAAATGAAGCACAGTTTACTTTTGCCCCATGGAGGGTCTATCATGTTTTTTGTGAACTGAAAAATAAGAGTTATTAAAATGAATGTAGCATTGCAGATGATTTGCAGTGTCAAAGTTCTTTTTTTTTTAAATAAGCACTCTACTGACAGCTATATTCTCAGCCCTGATCTGTAATCTTTTTTTTTTTAAATTTTTTAATTTATTTTTTTTAGTTTTCAGCAGACACAACATCTTTGTATGTGGTGCTGAGGATCGAACGCTACTGCTTGAGCCCCAGCCCCTGCAGTGTCAAAGTTCTTGAGCAAAGAAAAAAAAAATTAGCCTTTCTAAAACTTAAGAGGGGGTCTTAACTAATTTAAAAAAGAAAAGATATAATGTTCTGATAGAAAGGTTTGGAATTATTAATAGGTCCTGAATTCTCGTTTGTTCACAGAATGTTCTCCGGAAAGTGCAACATCAAGATGCTTTGCAGATATCTGATGTGGTCATGGCCTCCCTGTTAAGGATGTTCCAAAGCACAGCTGGCTCTGGGGGAGTCCAGGAGGATGCCCTGATGGCAGTTAGCACGCTGGTGGAAGGTAAGTGAGCACTAATCTGTTGGGGAATGACTTCAGAAAGCAGAAGTTTTAATATCTCTGAAATTTTGCTAAAAAAAAAAAAAGACATAGTTTTTTTACTGTGGACTGACTCACTCAGTTCATAGATTGAACCTAAGTATAAATTATATAACTGCCTTGGCAATCTTCTTGAAGTCAGTGGGGAGCCAGTTTGCAACAGGGAGTCAAGATTGGTAACCTTTTTCAGAGGAAATTATTCCCTATCTCATACTCGTGAGATTACTTCTTGCCTTGAAAGTCCACTTGCTTTATTGACTCCTATCAAGGGTAGAGGAAGTAAAAGTTTCTAGTTTCATTACTGTCATGTGATACCTCCTGGTTCCAGTTTTAATGCTTTGGACTCAGGTGTGGGATATAATGAAACATTGAGTGAGTTTTAGGAATTAATTGATTTTTCTGATTGTTACATGTCTGACTGCAAAATTGCTCTGGGCAAGCCATATCTGACTTAAAATTCTTTGAAGGGCCATTAAAAGCACATAAAAGAGCACTTCAGAAATCTGGCATACTTCTATAAGTATATTACTGAGGCCATTTCTTGAGGACCACTCTCCTGAGGACCAGTCCTACTGCTGGCATAAAGAGCCTGTGTCCAGCTGGTTTGGCCACATGTGACTACCTGAGAAGGGCAAGGAAGTTAATTTTGGCTCCTGAAGTGGTGTTTTGAATCTGAAGCTCTGTGCTACTTTTCCTGGCTCTGGCTTGTTAAGCCCTTGATGGGATTGCCTAGGAACTCTGGTTTGAAGCTGACCTCTAGAGAGGACATATAATCAGATGAGGGGAGGTGGGGAAAGAAGCAGTATTACTGGCTCAGTCAATTCATAATTTACCTTGAAGTTCCTTAAGATCCTGCCACTTCATGTTTTAGCAAAAGTAAAATCCCATTCTGTGTAAAGTTGGTACTGTCTCTGGGATATAAGAATTAAGCCCCCCTATTAGTTATGAACTTGGTTTATGTGAGATGGAAACAGTAATTAACACATTCCACCAACTGGTTGAGGATTGCATACAATTTTGGGAGAGCTAGGATGGTTTTTTTTTTTTTTTTTT